TGTCTTAGGACATCAATGTGTCGTCACGAGCCGCAGGGTTTAATTTGGATTTGTCTGTGCATGTTTTTTTACTCTCATAGATTTTGTTACCGTTGCCATGCATTACATGACTGACAGACTGCAACGGTTGAACTTAAAAATCTTCGTTTGTGTTCTACTGAAGAAACAAAGTCATAATAAGATGATAAAACTATTTAAATGCTTAGTTTTATGACCAAAACTCTTTAGTTTTAATTGTGGGGATCAACACATAATGCAATGCGATAATGATGATACAGTGATTAAAGAGATGAACAAATAAACGTTCTTCAAAAGCCTGATGATCATATTTCATTTTTTTCAAAAAAAACCAAAAAACAAATGATGTATGGATAATCAAGTAAAAAGTTGCTTCAGTCCAGTAGGTGTTCAACTTGAAATAATACTAATAATGTAACAGTTATTTCTACGTTTACTTTAAAAATCAGTAAAAATGTTACAGCAAAAAGACGTGTACCACAGAATTTTTTTAAAAATATACTAAAAGACATTTTACTTGTTAAAAGTATGAACTCTCAGTCAGATACCAGAAAAAATTGATCGTGTACAACAAGTTTTTCAGCAAAGTTTTGATGAAGTTGATCATTTAGAGGCCTTAGAAATGTGGGCTTTATAAGAATAATAATATTCATCTCTCTCGCTCGAAGACGCCAGACACCTGCTCTTACCAATACAACTAAACTTGCTTTCTGTTGCTTATTGCTTACAACTAAAATTCTGAAGTGTCTTACCTGTGGAAAGTTGATCATTCGGACTGGGATCAAGGATTCGACCAACCTGGGGATCAAGCAGTTGGTTAATCGACGTCAGAATCAGTGATGATGCTGTAGCAGAAACCGCTGTTAGAAAGCCTGACATGCATCTGACCTGTTTCTGACTTGATTAGGCTCCACATCAAAGTACGGCCGGAGAATGTCAATATTGGCGTAGAGATTAAATGCTTTTGAGGCCTGTCTTTTTCCCGCCTGCCATACCTGTGTGGATACGAGATATATTAGTAGTCTTATCTACACAAAGCTAAACAGAACTATTCAAAGGAAAGTTAGACATGTTCATGTGAATCATATGTAAAAACAAGTGCCTAGCCCTCCCTCTAAGCTCACCTCATCGGCAACCTGTCTGCCCAACTGTCCCTTCAAGCCCTTCATCCCGAGGAACTCTCCATATTCTCCGTTGTCCTCCTCCGTAGCTGCTGCCTCGGCTGTCACCTCCTCCTCCTCCTCCTCACGCTGATGGATCTCCCCCATATCCTCAAAGCTGGAACCAGAGGTGTCATCCATATTCTCCATGTCTATCACTGCTGAACCGCTGCCCTGGGGTCAGTCACATGAAAGAACAAATGCCGTGTTAAAAAGTCTCATTGTATTTATTATTTTTTTTTTTTTTAAAGATGAAGCCAGTTGCACATTTGCAATATGCTAGAGAATGTAATTATGTAGCATGCAGGACATTTTTATTTTGTGCTAATCAAAACTATGACATATCGTGTGAATGCTGAATTAAGATAAACAGTTATACCACCGTTTTGAGTCGTTGGCTTATTATATTTCCCCGAAACCTAGAGTACTACGCAAATTCTGCATAAACATAAACACGCCCTAGTGAAAAATAAATATACTTAAATGCATCTGAAATACATTCATTTCATGCCGAGTATACTACAAATACATTTTTATATGTATGTACTTTAAAACGTTGTACTTTTGGTATATTTCAAGTCTGCTAAATTGGAACAACTCATTTTGTACTTAATGCACTTTAATTGTGCAGAAGGAGTACCATTAAATAGGGATGCACGATATATCGGCCACCATATCGGTTATCGGCTTTCAAAAATAAAGAGTAATCGGTTATCGGTATCGGCCAAAATTTTCATATCGGTGCATCCCTACCATTAAAGATATACTTTAGTGAGCTAAAGTGGAACTGTTGCGAGTATACTTCAGGTACACGTTAAATATTTTGCATTTAAAGTCTGATATTATTCAAAGATCATACAATCCTCATCAAAAGTGACATTAAAACACAATATTAAGAAAACTGCATTGTGCACAAGTAATGTTTAATTATTATTATTTTGATATCAGTAAGTCTCAAGTTATCTGTCAGTACATATGTTAATAGATTTGAACTATACTTAGTTGTATTTTAAATATATTACTTTTTACTATGGTATATATATATATACATCGTGGTATATCACGATACACAACGCCAGGACAGGCTAAGAAAAGCACACTAAGCTTTATTAACAGTAAAAAAAGTGTGCATTCCAGAAGTTATGTTACAGTAATAATGATAGTTACCTGGATAACGTTATCATCAAAACTACCCCATGGTTCCGTGTTCGTGTTTGTGCTTCCTTGTGAGGCCGACATTGTTTTGCGCTAACAGGTAACTTACAAGAACACAGCCAGAGAGGCTAGCGGCTAGACTCTCAAGATGCTGCTGTCTATAGTTTGATTCTGCTGCTCGTTGTAGTCTAGCATTAAAGGTGTATGCGGATGGTTTCGCCAGCTGTAAAGCGCCGGGGTGCAATTTTGACGTAATGACGAGGGAACGTCTGACGCTACGCTACGTCCGCTAGACGCAAATAAAAGCGCAGATCACAACTTCCGCATTTTTTGAGCAGTCTTGGGAGAACACAAGTCTTACATTCCTCTAATATTTTCACATTGACTCGTATTTAACCACATAGATATTAAGTACCTAAAAAAACCCGTGTCGTTTTAAAGTGACAACGTCGAGCGCGTGTACTATCATGTCGCGTCAAAAATAAAAGTCGTGTGATTTTCTTTTTTCTTTTATTTGATAATTGCGAAATAACGTGTTTCTTATTTGCTTACCTTTCTGACATAAAAATAAAATGGAGTGGGTAGAAGATTGCACATTTTAGATTAACAAAATGTTAATGCTCAACATGTTAACGTCCATCCACACGTGCATATTAAACTATTCTTGCTCCAGGCATGTACCTCATGTTTGCAAAGTTATACTGAAATCTCTGAAGTCTTTGTATTTAGATTCACTTTTTTTAATCTTACTAAATCCGTGAGAGGATTTTACGGGCCACTAGATGGTAGCACTACTTGAGACCGCGATAGTATCGCGAGATCATGGTCTCGCGGGATTTGCCAAATCTCCATTGACGTCAGGTCAGCCTCGCTGGTAGCGTAACGCGTGAGAGGACGCGGCACTGCTTTCTATATTATCATCAACTTCGTTTCCATACAAGGTTACCAGCTAGTCCAGGTATGTATACATAGAGTCTCTACAATGACATATTTGTTTTGAGAAATAATTTCACTTTTAGCTAATGCGGCGTCGGAATGCTAATCTGGGTTAGTGGTGAGTGCACGAGCTCACTATATTTGTAACATATCAGGCCTTCTTCTGTATTTTTACGGTGATATATTTAAGATATTGACAGATGTATACTTAATCTGAGAATCGTTTTAATGACAAGTTTTTAAAAAATGTATTTTTTTACGAGTTCACATATCGGTTCACTGTGTCCTCGGCAATGCGGTGTCATAAAGTAAAGATATGAAGTACTGGCCTATTTTTAATCTTGTATTTCTATACTTAACTCTTAAATCATGCTTGTGTTATTAACGGTTTAGTGTGACTTGGTTATAAACATCATTTATCTTTTCTTACAGCCTTAATCTTTTCTAGTGGGTGTGAACACTGACATGCTTCATAATGTGCTTTTAAGTTTATTTAGTGCACAATGAGATGTTATTTTCTTGTTTGTGTTATAAACATAAGAAAACATCCGTGTATGTGACATAATTTGTCACACCTCACAAGCACAGGTAATAATTACTATTTGGATGCAGGTTGTCTAAAAGGAATAGGGCTTACTAGACCACAGCTAAACAAGCTCAGATGTATTAACGATTGAGAAATTGTCTCAAAAATAGTTTGTAGACAAGAGCTTAAGTGAATTTACACTCATTCACTTAAGCTTTATTGAGAAACGTCATTGGCTTTCTCCATAATCTCTCAAAACAGCTGCATGGATTAGAGTATAATACCGTTTCTCTGTTTTAAATGAATAAGGACCCTGTTTCTATTATTGTAGACCTCAGATCATTGCAGGCTGTCCTTCAGCGGTTTAGGAGGAGGGACGTCTTATTCACCTCAGCAGGAGTTTTAAAAGCTGCTTGGCATCTGAGCGCTTTCAATTCAAAGGCAGACGCGTCAGGACTCACGCATATATGTGCCTCTGCTTACTCACAGGTGAAGTCTCAGCTGCACAG